AGTAATGCAATTGACTGGAAAGCCCCAATATTGAAGCAAATAAAATAGATAAGGCCAGGCGACCCTATCAAATGCCTTTTCTGCATCTAATGATAAAAGTATTGATGGTGTCTTCCCTACTGCCATAACCCAAGCAACATTAACTGCTCTACGTGTATTCTCATACAGCTGTCTACCTGGAACGAAACCTACCTGATCTGGATGAATCAGAAAAGGAAGTAGGGGAGAGAATCTCAGGGCAAGGACTTTAGCTATTATTTTTATATCAACATTTATTAATGATATAGGCCTATAATTTCCCACTGAAGAAGGGTCCTTATCTTTTTTTGGTAAAAGAAAAATTTTAGCCATTGTAAGGTCGGCTGGAAGAATTCCGCTTTGACAAATTTCATCTATGACCTCTTGTAAATATGGCATAAGAGTGTGTTGAAATATTTTATAATAACTACTACTAAAGCCATCTGGCCCTGGTGCTTTACCCCCCTTAATAGAAAAGCATGCCGCTTTAATTTCCTCTAAAGATATTTTGGTCCCTAATCCTTCTAAGGCATTTTTAGGGATTTGGGGTAAATTTATCTTATTCAAAAATTCTCTCAGTCTTATCTCCTGATCTGTACCTTTTATATTCTCGTTTTTAAATTGACTATATAATCTAGAAAAATATTCCCGAAATACTCCATAAACATCCTCTGGTGATGATACTAATGACCCTGAAGCGTTTCTAATGGATGAGATAGGATTAAAATGTGTTCGTGGTTTTAAGCATCTGGCCAAAGGGGCGTCTATTTTATTAGCTTGCTCATAAAAATATCTACGTGATTTTTTTAACTGCCATACTGCTTCATCTAACAAAAGCTTTTTAATCTTTAATCTACAGTTCAGTGGGAACTGTTTTATGTTTTTGTTCCAGCTTACGTAAACCTTTCTGTAACTCAAATAATGATTGTGATTTAATCTTTTTCTTATATGAGGCTATTTTGATCAATTCTCCCCTAATTACAGTTTTATGTGCTGCCCATAAAGTGGTTTTGCTAATTTCAGTCGTATTATTTTCTGAAAAATAATTTAACAATGCCTTTGTAATAGTATACAAAATTGTGAATGGTGAGAGCACACTGTATATCTTTACCCTTGTATTACTTAAACCTCCATAGGAATCTAAAAACAAGAGAAAAGAACATATAGGGTAATAACGAAGCAACTGTAATGCTTAAAATACCATAAGATGGTCAAACTCACATGGTCATGAGCCACTTATAAAAGCTGGCTCAGACTAACAGCATATCAGCATATGTACAAGAGAACTCCAAGCTCAATTCACTTTGTGGTCCTTAGTTCAAGCTGTTTCAATCAAATCTGGATGCAAGAAATGATGAAGTGCAAAAAACTTTTATTCCACATATATTAAAAAGCTGGATACAAACAAACACTGTTGTTTTAAAAAGTCCTCTTAAAAATAAACTTGACACGTTTCGGCATATAGCCTTTTTCAAAAGTCCATCTTTCTTCTTTCTGTCTGATTTAAATACCTCTTTCTTGGCGCTCTTTCTGCCGGCTGGGATTCACTTCCTCTTCCGGTTTCCGGTATTCGGCCGCATCCACGTCATTATTTGGCGTCTGGCCGCATTCTCCTCTACTTCCGGCGCCATTCACAAACGTAACATCCCCCACGTATGACGTCATAACGTCCACATCGCATTGCCGTCGTGGCGTTTACGTCAGGGGCGGGGCAATAAGTCCTAAATAAATTTTCCCTCTTTAAAAATGGATCTCTTAGACGTCCAGAGAGGGCAAAAGCCATAATTTAAATTAAAATTACAGTGCACACCATATGATATAATAGATACACATTTACATATATCAAATATACTACAGAGAGAAAAAGGGGGGAAAGGGAATACATATAAATATAAATATAAGTTCAAATTAACAATACATTAATATTTAAAAACATATATCTAAATAATATAGAAAGGAGATTAAGATCAACCCAATTACATACTGTATGTAGATTTGGAAATCTTCCAGGTATATATAAATACCCTTTTGGTACCGTGAATTACCTATATATACTAATTAAAAATCTATAAATAAATTATTTTAAAAAATTCCTAAAAATTTTTTAAAAAATTTTTAGGTATAAAAAATGATTACAATACAATTAAAATTTGATTAACTTTATAAATATGGGGTGATCTCAAAGTCCACATTCAGACCTTGTGGTATTAGAGTGTCCATATTAAAGATCCATTTCATTTCCGTCCTATTTAATAAATTTTCTTTATCTCCCCCTCTCCAATGTATGTCTACTTTTTCAATTCCTACAAAATCTAAGTCTTTTGGATCACTATTATGATACTCCATAAAGTGTTTAGACACACTATGATTTTCAAATTTGCGATTAATATTATAGATGTGTTCCCTAATTCTGATTTTGAGACTACGAGAGGTCCTCCCTATGTACTGTAAACCACATGGACAGGTTAACATGTATATCACCCCTTTACTATTACATGTTATAAAGGATTTAATATCATACTTTTTTATTGAAGTTTTGGACGAAAAATTCTGGATTTTTTTGGAAGGCCTATTTTTGGTTGCTTTACAGCCCCTACAGTCTCCACAATAATAAAATCCATTTGGTTGTTTTAAAAAATTATCCTTCTTATCAATATCTAAAAAACTTTTAGTTAAAGCTTGTTTAAGATTCCTCGCCCCTCTAAAAATAATTTTTGGTTTTTCCTTTATAAGACTTGTTAACCTATCATCTGTTTTTAAAATATGCCAGTTTTTATAAATTATTTTCCTCAGGTCCTTATTATTGGAGCTAAAATCAAAGATAAGAGGTACTTCCTCATCCTCTCTTTGACCTAAAGGTTTATTTTTATTTTTATATTGTAAAAGTGCTTGTCTATCAATTTTTTCAATCTCTCTAAAGGTTTTTTCCAGGGTATTACTATTATAACCTTTTTCCTCAAACTGTCCCATTAATCTTTCTGTTTGCTGTACAAACTCTTTATTTTCAGTACAGTTCCTTTTGATCCGTAACATTTGTCCTTTTGGGATATTTTCCAGCCATGGTCTAAAATGGCAACTTTTACAGTCAATAAAACTATTAACGTCAACCGACTTAAAATAGGTTTTACTTTTAATCTTTTGTTCTTCAATAAAAATGGTTAAATCTAAAAAATTAATGGTTTGCCGGCTAATATCATATGTAAGGGTAATATTCCACTTATTATTATTTAAGTTGTTAAAAAGTGTTTGAAGTGTTTCCTCACTCCCTTTCCATATTAAAAACACATCATCTATATAGCGCTTATAGAGGACCAGATTTGCCCCAATTTTTTCATCATTGTAGATAAAACAGTCTTCCCAATATGACATGAAAAGATTAGCATAGCTTGGGGCAAATCTGGTCCCCATAGCTGTACCTTTAATCTGCAGATAAAATTTTTTATTAAACCAAAAAAAATTATTATTAAGTATTATCTCTATTCCTTCAATAATAAAGTTGATTTGGATGTCTGACAACTCACTAAATTTTCTTTAAAAATGAGCTGCAGCCTCACAACCCCTACTGTGATCAATATTGGTGTAAAGGCTGTTCACATCTGCAGTTGCCAAAATGTAGTTATCTTCCCACTTAAAATCATTTAGAATATTTAAAAGACTCATTGTGTCTTTAAGATACGCTCTACATTTCTTAACAGGATCTTGTAAAAACTGGTCGATATATTTTGAGAGTGGGGCTAAAAGGGATCCTATGCCTGAGACTATGGGTCTCCCTGGTGGATTATCTGCATTTTTATGTACTTTTGGAAGCACATAAAAGACAGGGATTTTTGGAAACTTAACGTTTAAAAACTCAAATTCTTTTTGGTTTAGAATACCTTTTTCCAGTCCTTTATTTAAAAACGTCTGATATAGTTCTACAATTTTGTTAAGTGGATTATCTTGGAGTTCTTGATACGTACTAGAGTCTTCTAATTGTCTATAAATCTCTTCCATATATTTCTCCTTTTTCCAAATAATTACTCCTCCCCCTTTATCCGCAGGTTTAATCACTATATTTGCGTCTTTTTGTAAGTCTTTCAACGCCTCTCTTTCTTCTTTCATAAGATTATTTTGATATTTATTTAGGGGTTTAATTTTCTTTATATCTTTCAAACAAGATCTCTCAAATGTCTTATTCGAATCCGTCTTAAAATTAAAAGGATAAAATGATGATTTATTTTTCAAAAATGTATGTTTAAAACCATCATCTACTTTTTCAACAGATTTCAGGGGCATAGTCTTAAAAAAGTTTTTTAGACATAATTTTCTTGTGAATCTATTAAGGTCAATAAATGTTCCAAATTTATCAGCTGCACAACTCGGTGCAAATTTAAAACCTTTACTTAAAATTTGAACATGTGAATTAGTTAAAACTTTATTTGATAAATTAAAAATTCTAAAATCTCCTTTTCCAATTTTAAATTCTACCTTCTCCAACTCCTTTCTTCCCTCTTCCTTTTCTCCTCCTTGATGTTGTCTAGTTCCCCCTCTTCTAGTTCTCTGCCTCGTTTGATAGGGGTATATACATTCCTTTTTCTCTCTATTGGTCTGTGTATATCCTGACCTAAAAAATGGTCCTCATTGTCCAAATTCCTCAGTTTATTAAATCTATTAGCAAGATGGACCTTTGGAGTTCTGAAATTATATTCTTCGTTTCTTCTATCCTTCCTATATCCTTTCTTATATTTAACCTCTGTCCAACCTCCTTCTACCCTGTTCTTTTCTTCTTGATTATTGTATTTGGTCTGATGGTTAAACTTCCTTTCCTCATAATCATTCCTTCTTTCCCTCCCATATGGCTCTTTTCTTCCATTTTCAACCTTTCTCTTTTTCATACTTAAATCTCTTTTGGATGGTTCTTTAGAAATTCTTTTCTTTTTTTGTTGTTGTAATCTAACATTCCCAGTCTTATAGTCATCTTGGTCTCTCTTTAATTTTCGTTTCTTTGTTCTAATTACTGATATTTCAATATCATTAATTTTTTTAATCATAATTTTAGTAATATTCTCAAATTCCTCTAAATCAAAAAAAGGTTCTAATTGACTTTGAATTTTCTTAATTTTATCCTCCAATTCATGTAGGTTCAAATTCCTACGATCTATAATGATTCTCATCATATGGGAGGAAAAGGAATCAAGGGCCCCATCCCAAATTCCCATAAAATCTGCGTTTTCTTGATCAAAAGTGGGTAATTTATCAAATCTTAAACCCCTTGGGGTAATCTGGAGAGCAATATATTTTTCTAAAGTAAAAATCTCCCATTTGATCTTCATTTCTTTAATTAGAAGTTTTTCCAACTCTTTACATATTGTATCTAGATCATTGTCTATGAGGATACTTTCATTAATTTTACCCTCATTTTCCATTTCAAATTTTTGTTCTAAATTATTTCGCCATTTGCTTCTTATTTGGAAAATAGACATGATCTTCTAGACCAGTAACCTTAAAAAGTGACAATAAAACAAGCAGTAAAGTATAAAAGAATTAAGGTTAAAATTAGTCCAGAAATTAGGTGCTCCAATCACCAATGTGAGTCACTTAACACAAAACAGAATAAAACAGTATACAAAATTGTGAATGGTGAGGGCACACTGTATATCTTTACCCTTGTATTACTTAAACCTCCATAGGAATCTAAAAACAAGAGAAAAGAACATATAGGGTAATAACGAAGCAACTGTAATGCTTAAAATACCATAATATGGTCAAACTCACATGGTCATGAGCCACTTAAAAAAGCTGGCTCAGACTAACTGCATATCAGCATATGTACAAGAGAACTCCAAGCTCAATTCACTTTGTGGTCCTTAGTTCAAGCTGTTTCAATCAAATCTGGATGCAAGAAATGATGAAGTGCAAAAAACTTTTATTCCACATATATTAAAAAGCTGGATACAAACAAACACTGTTGTTTTAAAAAGTCCTCTTAAAAATAAACTTGACGCGTTTCGGCATATAGCCTTTTTCAAAAGTCCATCTTTCTTCTTTCTGTCTGATTTAAATACCTCTTTCTTGGCGCTCTTTCTGCCGGCTGGGATTCACTTCCTCTTCCGGTTTCCGGTATTCGGCCGCATCCACGTCATTATTTGGCGTCTGGCCGCATTCTCCTCTACTTCCGGCGCCATTCACAAACGTAACATCCCCCACGTATGACGTCATAACGTCCACATCGCATTGCCGTCGTGGCGTTTACGTCAGGGGCGGGGCAATAAGTCCTAAATAAATTTTCCCTCTTTAAAAATGGATCTCTTAGACGTCCAGAGAGGGCAAAAGCCATAATTTAAATTAAAATTACAGTGCACACCATATGATATAATAGATACACATTTACATATATCAAATATACTACAGAGAGAAAAAGGGGGGAAAGGGAATACATATAAATATAAATATAAGTTCAAATTAACAATACATTAATATTTAAAAACATATATCTAAATAATATAGAAAGGAGATTAAGATCAACCCAATTACATACTGTATGTAGATTTGGAAATCTTCCAGGTATATATAAATACCCTTTTGGTACCGTGAATTACCTATATATACTAATTAAAAATCTATAAATAAATTATTTTAAAAAATTCCTAAAAATTTTTTAAAAAATTTTTTGGTATAAAAAATGATTACAATACAATTAAAATTTGATTAACTTTATAAATATGGGGTGATCTCAAAGTCCACATTCAGACCTTGTGGTATTAGAGTGTCCATATTAAAGATCCATTTCATTTCCGTCCTATTTAATAAATTTTCTTTATCTCCCCCTCTCCAATGTATGTCTACTTTTTCAATTCCTACAAAATCTAAGTCTTTTGGATCACTATTATGATACTCCATAAAGTGTTTAGACACACTATGATTTTCAAATTTGCGATTAATATTATAGATGTGTTCCCTAATTCTGATTTTGAGACTACGAGAGGTCCTCCCTATGTACTGTAAACCACATGGACAGGTTAACATGTATATCACCCCTTTACTATTACATGTTATAAAGGATTTAATATCATACTTTTTTATTGAAGTTTTGGACGAAAAATTCTGGATTTTTTTGGAAGGCCTATTTTTGGTTGCTTTACAGCCCCTACAGTCTCCACAATAATAAAATCCATTTGGTTGTTTTAAAAAATTATCCTTCTTATCAATATCTAAAAAACTTTTAGTTAAAGCTTGTTTAACCTTAATTCTTTTATACTTTAATGCCTTTGTAATATTTGATCTCACTATGGGATCTTCCAAGAGAGAAGTATTTAATCGCTAAGAAAAATTGGGTTTAACTGATAATCCTTTTATATGTACAATGATATCTGCATGATCTGACCACGTAATATTGTTAATTTGTGAGCTATATAAATAGGGAGAAAGTGTTAAATTGTTCAAAAACATATCTATTCTAGAATACGTATCATGTGGATGCGAATAAAAGGTATAATCAAGTGTGTCAGGATGTTGAGCCCTCCATATATCAATAAGTTTCTGAGTTATCATAAACTGAAAAAACTGTTTATCTTGTCCTCCCCTTCCCTGGGATCGCAATGTTCCCGGCTTATGACTTCTATCTATTGCTGGACAAGAAACCGCGTTACAGTCCCCACCTATCAAGACACAATCAAACACTATGGAATCAATCATTTGGCCTATCGTGTCCCAAAATCTATTATCTGGGATATTTGGGGCATATATATTCATTAAATGAAGCTTACGGGTGCCCATTATTCCAGACACTAAGATATATCTTCCTTCTTTATCCTGAATGGAATTTAAGACCTTAAACTGACATCTTTTATGGAACAAAATAGCTACTCCATTATGTTTTTGAATAGCATTCGAACAATACGCTCTATCATACCATTTATCTGTCAAGGATAATATATGAGATCTGTTAAGATGAGTTTCTTGCAAAAAAACTATGTCCGCCTGCTTTCTCTTTAATTCCTTAAACATTATCTTCCTTTTAGCAGGTGAATTAAGGCCTTTTACATTTAAGGAAATTATCTTCTCATCCATCATAATTCAACACCAATACAAGCAGATGTTTTGACCCAATAAAATAAATGAACCATATTAGCATATTGTATACCAAAACATGAAAATGAGGGGAGGAAGAGAAGAAAAAAAAAAACAAAAAAAAAAAACAAACACAACCATATATACATATATACACAATAAACACCTCCTGGACTTACCCAATGCCAGGAGTTAATTAGGGGGCACAGTTTTCCCAGGTCTACTTCGGCCTTGGGATAAACTGCAACTACTCCCATCAACCTGAAACCTAGATTTTTAAACTAATACTAGCAACCTGATTTTTCTTAACATAACATGGGTCCTCTTACACTTCCCTAAACGCCTCCTTAACACATATGAGCTGTCCTCGGCCCCTATACAAAACCATTCAAAAACCAAAAAACTCCATATTATCCTATAATACAACATTTTTACTGCTGAATTACTATTGAGATTTTATTTTTTATTTTTATCAAACGCATCATTTATAAAATACATACACCTATATAATATGCTTATTTCTTCTCATATATGCCTTACTATATTATTCCATGTATACCAATATGCAATAACTTAATCCCTTCACTTCCTTATTCTCCCCTTCACAATCACCATCAGTATATCACATTATATCCCACTTCCCCCCCCCAAAAAAATAAAAAAAAATAAAAAAAATAATAGATTAACCTAAATAAATGAAAATTTATGTCCTTTTAAGTTTGATTCTCTCTCGCATCAAACCATTCTCTGGGTAAAGTTGGTAATGGGGTCTTTTGTTGAAATAATGGTATTACTCCCTCTGGTGTATCCAGGCCCATTATCTGAAAAAATCTACTTGGATCCCCCGTTGGTAATAAAGCTCTGGTTTGTTCATTATGAAAAGCGAGAAGTTTAAAGGGATGGCCCCATGCAAAGGGAATGTGATTAAGTCTCAGATGATCTGCAATCGGCTTCCATTGCCTTCTCTTTAAAAGAGTAGATGGTGAAAGATATTGAAAAATCTGAAGCACCTTTTCTCTGTAAATAACCTCCATCCCCCTACATTTGCGGACTACAGCGTCTTTGGTGCTATGGTAATGAAATCTCATGATTATATCTCGGGGTCGTTCATCATTCCTTCGTAGACCACCTGACAAACGGTGCGCCCTGTCAATTTCCCATCTGGGTTCAGGAATGTCTGGTAGTAAGGGTCTAAAGATTTCTAAAACCAAATTCTGTACCGGACCCTCATCTCTGGTTTCCGGTATCCCTCTAATTTTAATATTATTACGTCGGGATCGATTTATAAGATCCTCAAATGCCACTTCTAAAGCGTCAAGCCTTGTGCCCCATTCCGAGCTCTGGATTAATAAATCATTATGTGCTTTTGCCACAGCCTCTACCCTCACTTCTAGGGCGGCAGTCCGATTACCAATTGCCTGGATCTCTAATCTTATTTCCTTAGCATTTCTCTCAATCTCTCCGGCTAAAAAAATTCTATCCTCTTTCATTTGTGCCAATATACATTGTATGCCGTCTAATCCAGATGTCCGATCGGTAGAATTTCTGCCTTTACCAGGAGGAGTAGGCTGTGGTAGGGTAGGAGGAAGTAGTCCAATCTCGAGTATGTGTCATGCGTCGTGGAATAGAATGTGTAGTCTCATAGTTCAGGATTCATCGCCCTCCAGCAGTCTGTAAGTTGATGGTGTTGGAGTAGTTGGAGCGTTCTTGCGTGCCTGCCGGGTGGTGTCAATGTGTGTGTCGCTGAGGTGTCTCGATCATGTAGGGGGA